CACATCTCACGGCCTCGGGCAGGTTAGGGTCAATAATACTCTTATCTAACGTGGTGTGATGTGACAGTTCACATTTTACACTTTCCAGTTCTCGTCGTTGTTGACCACCCTGCGAGTCAGTGGGGTTTGTTACCTGTCCACGGCAACACGGCACGGCTTTCCATTCTTGCATGTGCTATGTGCTGTGTTTCTATTCGGCGGGGCTAGCACGGTAAGGTCTGCTTGAGACCGGTCTATGCGAAGAAGAAAAGGAAAACTGGGGTCGTTATTTTCTACCCCTCTGGAAGGAAGTATCCGGGGGAAGGCTGAAGGGGCAGCAACTGGCACAGTCTTCTTCCATGAACCGTGAACCCAAGCGTAGATCGACGCCAAATCTATCTTGTCCAAAAATGGTCAATGTGTATGGTGGAAATGTTTGTGCGCGCTTCACGCGGCGGAGATGACACTAATTCGACTTAATCAGTGATTGCTGTTTGTTCTCACATTATCGTGCTCATCCCGGGGTGGGAAAAAAGCAAAAACAACAAAAGAGACTGGTCATATTTTGGATCTCGGTGAGCATTTGTGTGGCAAGACTTTGCGATTGAGATAGATAGGTAGGTACCTAAGTATTCCGTACCAAACTAACAGAAAGCCTGAGTGACCTTGACGAGGACTTGCGGGGACGGCGAGCCACGAAAACATGAGACTTAACTGGATCGTCGATAGGAGCCGTTTCGAATGCGGACCAGTAAGGAAGAAGATGAAAGGGAGAGGAACGATTGCTCCCTCTCAGGACGCGCATGTCCATAATAACTCTCTCACCTTGCTATTGGCCTGCAGCAGCCACCTGCAAGATCAGCTCACCACTCCCGCTTGCACAATGTGTCAGGCAAGGGTGCTCCCGGAGTCGACTGAGGCATTGCCTGCCGAATTACAAATGCATGGAGTAGAGGAAGAAGCTTCCATGTCGGGTGCATTGGGTCTGGACCCGGCGTTGAACGAAAACTCGCGTTAGGTTCTTAAGATAGTGTCAGACGAGAGAACAGCAGCCTCGCCTGACATGCTTGCCGAGAGCTCGCCTTCCTGCTCGCAAATCCTCGAGTCGAGGGAAGAGCAGGCCATGGGCAACAAGCACTCATGCCATCATGGCGCAAGAAGTGGAGACAATGAGAGGGGAGAGAAGCAAGGGGAAGGAGAGCACGAGCACCTGGGTCGTGCTTGCCTCCATTTTCTTGTCGTTCATCGTTCTTACCATTCCAAAGTTGGGGTTTGATGTGGTGGAGTGCGTTGCGTTGTCTCTGGTCTGCCCCCCCGCCTTCTCGCCCAGGCCCAGGTCCAAGTCCAGGTGGACTCCAACACGACCTGGATCGGAGACATCAGAGATCCAGATCTCCAAGCCGAACAGCGTTCCAATGACCCCCAAAGCAGCCGCATGAAGTTGAGGGGAGAAGTGCGGGGGCGTGATAGCCAACCAGGATATCTGGTATGCATATATACCCATGTTTAATCGTGGCCCGATTGCACGGAAGCCCCCCTAAGTAAATGGTGGACGATCCCATTCAGCCCACAGCCCAGTGCGCAAAGAATTGGCCCACCATTGTTTGTCGTTTTTGGGGTGTGCGTGTGTGACATTGCCGGCTGCCAAGACCATTCAAGGACGGCCAAACCAGCTTTCAGAGCAGTTTCTGCTCGCTCCAGGCCCGAGTCTTTCTCATCTCTCAGCGCGACATTTCAAAAATAAACCAAAAGGGGGGTGGTGTTCTGCTCCCGACACGGCGCGCCTCTTACGTCACATTATTTTCTTTCAGGAGCAAATGCCCGCAGGGGTGAGATGATATAACCACAGCGAAAGGAGCGAAGGTTGCCGATCACTGCTGTGTCTGGATGACAGCTCCACGAGGTTTTGCATGAGATGCCTAATGCCGTCCGGCTTGGCCTTTGTGCCGTCACCCACATCGATCTGGCATAAGACGACGCTGACGGGGAGTAACTCGCTCATGTGAGTACACTTGGAGTACATCGAGGTACTTGGCTCGACATGATGGAGGGTGGGCAGGGGACAGAATGCGACGCTCTCTCACCAGAGCCAACCAGCGATCGAAGACAACCGAGTCTGCAGACCCAACGATGCACATGTCATCACACGTCCATTGGCAGAACACCGTTCATTCAAGACAACCTTCCTCTCACCGTATCATTACTAACCCGCAAGACAAACAAGAGGCCCGTCGTGGCTGGCTGGCGAGCTGGACCCCTCGGAGCGAAATGGCAAGGCTAGTGTGTCAAAACTGAGATCCCCTCGGCCGCGCTAGCTACGCATGCAAAAACCGAACCCGTGCCAGCGCATTGGAAGATCAACAGCCCTTGACCGAGCTAGCCATGTCTCACTCGCCCACCCTCTTCCAAGAGAAAATGCCCGCGATAGGATGTGCACCATTTTGCTCCGCCAGCCACACACCGGACCGGATCGGGGCCGTGAAATCGACGAGTCAGCTGGCTGGCCTTTTCAGGAGGACAAAACGTGGCCATGCCCAGTACCCACGCGCGGCGCGGCTACGGCAGCCTGGGGACGAAACCAAAAGGAGCTGTTCAGCTGTCGTCATAACATGAACCATTGATGCTTTTGGGCCAATGAGGGCACCGGGATCCTACCTTCTATTAGTGAGAAAAAAATAGCTTCTCCCCCTTTGCCCTCTTCCAGCGGATCTCATCCGAGACACACCTCCAGCCGCCATTGGTCTTGTCTTGGTCAGACGATGTGCGCCGGCGGCGGCGCTCGGGGACGTCATACCGTGGACCCCTCTCTATAAGCCCTAGCTAGATCTCGTGGCTGAGAGCGGTGTAGAGATTGCTGTTCTCTATCTCCGCGTAAGCTGATCAGGTGTCGTCTTTGACGCCAGCAGGGGCGGCTGACTCGGTGTTTCGGTGCCGAGCAAGCGAGCGGGGCGGCTGTTGGCCTATTCGAACTTATGCTGCCTTGAAAGGGATTCCCAAGTAGGGGTTCCCCGGACTATTCCGCCGCCGGCCGAGATCTCGTGTCAGGCTAAAACATGCCGGACTCAAAACATAAAAAGATAAGGTGTCCGGGTCATCTTTTTTGGACAGGGAGGCCTTGTGTTGATATGATCCAGAAAAGCCTCGATCGATGGTTGCTGAGACCAAAGGCAGGATCGGGCGGCCCCCAACCGTTTTGGTGGAGACAAGACCAGGTCACGGACTGAGGCTGTCCGTCGGCTGGCGGCAGTTTTGACAGGACCCTCCTTGCCTGTGATGGGCGGTGGGCGGAAATCGATGGCAGGCAGATGTCCGAAGTCTGCAGTGCACCTGCATCTCTCGACTCTACAAGAATGCCCGAAATATGTAAACAAGCCGGGATTTCGAAGAAAAAGTAGAAACATTGAGCAACAAACTCCTCAGGTTGGTCAAAGCTGGCTGTAGCTGTTTGAGGGTTTGTGAAGTGGAATACGTGAAATATCCAGATACTTTCATATTCAGTGTTGAACTTCATTCTTCATGTTGCTAGATGTCAATTCGACCAAGTGCCCCCTCTGCAGCTTGTCTTGAGCACTCTCCAGCATTCAGTCCGGACAAAAGGGTGGGAGGACAGAAATCAAAACGTCCAGGGTCTATAACCAAGTCTAGGTTGGCTAGGGATGTAAAGCTCACCGCATATTCAGTCGCCATCACCTCGTCGTCCTCGATTTCATCGAGATACATTGGACATACGATCGATATTCAGGGGTCCAGTCAACCCCGAGAGCAGCGGCTCTGAACTGGGAGTACCCTCGTCTTTCCGCCATTCTAGAAAACCGTGAGCTTCTGTGCAGTAACACTGATAACCCCCAATGACATAAGTAGGGACACATAAGACATGCAGACTCCCGAGTTGCGTTCAACTATTCCCATGTCCCCGTGTCTCTATGTCATGGCAAACCCAGGTAGGTAATGGGAATCGTCTTTGTTGTTGTTTGAACAGACCGCGATGTATGTGTACGTGCAACCTCACACGGCGACTATCGATACCCTTCCCCCTTGTTCCTCAACAGGACCCTGATCTTTGCCTGGCTTATTAGTTGAGATATGAATACGTCACTTTGTTTCACTCACTACAAGATCCCGAAGAAATCTCATAGTCCCCTAATTATTTTTTGGTCTATTTTTTGGCAAGGGACGGGAATTCCCCATGATCTCGGATACATTCAAGTGACACTAAGATTACAATCAAACCCCTTACTCTTTTTCACGATCCTAATGAAGTCTTCCCCGGGGCACGGATCGGCCAATCATGCGGGACTGAGGTGACAAAGTCTTAGACCCTGCCTTTTGCAAAGGTTGGTCCCTTTTTTCTATTCGGAGTGATAGGAGTCCTGCGGACAGGGAAATGTTGAGTCTGTTTGACTCTTTGTTTTGAACTTGCTTGCTTCTTGCTGCTGGTTTGAGTCTTGCATGATGTTGGCCAACCTGAGTTGAGCTTAAGGATACCGGACAAGCTGTCTGTCTGTCCGATTTGTTTTATTTCCAGACTTCTTCATAATGCAATCCGGGGTATTGGCATAACGTGTCTGTTCTTTATCGAAGGGAAACAGATAAAACGGTGGTGGTGATGGGCCAGAAGCAGTCGTATCCGTTAGGACTTGTACTTGTTTTGTCAAAAAAAGGGGGCAAGGGGCAGACTGGTGATCAAAACAACATTCAGGAGTCAGCGTGCCACAAACCCCGCTTGGCCCCCCCCCCCCCCCCCTAAAAACACTACCGTTTGCAATAACGATTGCCATGGTTAAAGGATAATCCCATGATTTCCACAAACCCAAAGTAATTTCCCATCTCCTTTTTTAGTCCTTGAATTACAGTTGCAGTAAGGTACCTCTACCTTATACCTAGTCACAGTCCCACCCAGTTCGGCCCAACTCCACCTCAACACCAAACCTAGAAGAAAGAAAAAAAAGCCTCTACTGATCCACCACCCACACAAACATTTCCTCACCAATTCCAACCACCACATCCATCAAACAAGCATAGGGCGTGTAGCTCAGTTGGTAGAGCGTTCGCTTAGCATCTCGTCGTCTTCCAGAACACGATCCGTGATGCGAAAGGTCCTGGGTTCGATTCCCAGCCCGTCCAACGCAGGAGTCCCATTGGGATTCCACACTTTCCTTTTGGCGGTTACTTTCTTCTTTGTACGCCAGGTACTATGAAATTTGGTCGTTGACAATGTATCTCGTTTGGGAAATGTGTTGTTAGAGATAATCCGGCACGATGAAAGCTGGTGGTAAACGAAGTGTCCTTCGAAAATATTGTTTGGAGAGAATCCTGCAATGGGAAACACCTTCAGTGTTCCATTGTCCTCTACAGTAATTACTATCTCTCAAGACCTTACTACAGACCCCACAGATACAACTGTTTCCAGGGCGTGTATTTTCTGCAGGTACTTTCATATCTCCTCCGGGAAGCACGCAAATCTAGTCTCACGTCCATCTATCTCAAAGAACTCGGGCTGGAGACATGTGTGCTGTGCGTTGTGCCCCAATTACTGTACATATCAACCCGACATGATCTTCGTCCATCTTTCTCAATGTCCATTTCCATACAATTCTGACTCGCATCGACTCTTTCACTGTGAAACCTTCAACTCGTTCAGAGGTTTCCCGTTAGCCTAGAATAAATCCATATGCCGCTCGGCAGCAGCCTTCATGGCGTTGATGTGCCCCATAAGTGCCTCCCATTGCATGGTTTTGTTGGTAGAATTTGGAAAAAATCATCCAGCTGGTCCTTCAGTAATTTCGATTTCATGGCGTCAGTCTCAAGCGCAGTGACCCCCAGCTGTTTGGGGGCCTCTCAGCAATCCCCTAGTGCTCCGTTTTCTGGGTGTTGTTTCTTCCTAGTAGCAGTAGGTTTGCATTAGTCAGAGCTCCGAGTTGAGTATACAAGGTGTCGCCAACGTTGTCAGACTCCGACACAAATGTGGCTAGGTGTTGCGTGTAATAGCGTTTGTCTATTACAGCCGTGGCAGCCAAGTTGAGACGAGTAAGCTCGATCGGGCCGCGAGAGGCTTCAACTTGGGCGCGAAAGTAGTCGTTGGTTTTGGCAACGAGAGAAATACACGACACGTGGCTATCCCGAGTCTTCATCGCAGCCATGTAGTCGTCCCGGAAGTGGCGTCCATCATCATCGCTCTGCCCGAGAATGTAAAGATGACCATCGGCATCGATGCCAATATCTTCGGCCTTGATGCTGTTTTCTCCCATCGATTTCAGGAACTTCAAAGACGCAATACCATTTGAAGTGCAAGCGACTTCTTTGTATGACATCGAGAAATTCTCAGTTTATCTATCAGTAATACGTGTTAAGCCGCGGATTTTCTCTTCCGTCGTCTGAATCACATCGACTTGAGAGTCTCCAATGGACACCGTCTACGGAACCATAGAGCTAGAGGCAAGGTTTGTAATCTCAGACGGAAGAGGTGTAGGAGAAGAGTTCGAAGTTGGGGTGAAGGGATCAACAAGACTTGGCTGCTGACTTCCGAACAGTCCTCCTCTCCAGGGTGCATTGGCAGACTGAGCGCTGTTGGTACCAAACAGGCCGGTGCCACGATGGCCTTCAAGCTTTGGAACTTGACCTCCAAACAGCTTTCCCTCCCTGGCTAGGTGAGACGACAGATCGAGCGCTGTTGGGACCAAAAAAGCCGGTGTGACGGTGAGTCCCTGGCTGTCGTCCCTGGTTGTAGTCTGCGAGCCTCAGCTCTTCCGTAGACCACTTCCTGTAGGCGGGCATGAAGGCTATATGCTTAAATGCGTTGCTGGCGCTCTGATAGTCAGGCACATTTTCGAAGGTGGAAGCAAAAGCAACTATGGCTGTTCCTGTCGGATCGCCATCAAATTCGGGGTTGGCCTGAGGAATGTCGTTGGCTGGTGAGCTGGACGACCCAGAACCCGACGAGGCCGTCACGTTGGTATTCTGATTGATGAAATTGTTACCGTGTTTTAGAAGGCCAACCTTGACCGCCTCCAAAGTGCCCTCCGTTTGTGTGAGATGAAAACATTTTGATGACGGAGACCTATTGAACTGGTATTAGAGGAAACTATGCACCCATGATTTGAGTGACGGGGAATTGACCCTGATATTGATTTTAAGAGCGGTTTCGTCCTTGGCGCACTATCCGCGCGAAATGTGCCACAGCTAGGATCGCGTGTCTGACGATGAAGTTCAAGAATAAGGATAAATTGACGGAAAAAGGCTACCGGATAGATAGACAGCGAAACAAAAAGGTACTTCTCGAATGTTCAAGGCCCGGAGAATGCAGGCAGGGAAGACGACAGACTAAGTGCGTATGCGTTGAACGTCTGGTGTTGGGAACCTCGCGTTGCCGCGGTAACGCGGTGACGCTGCGACGCGAGTGAATAAAATTGAGGGAGGAAAAGCAATAGCAGATTAAGGTACTTAAATATATAGAGGTACTTTCCTCAGACAGAGGAAGTGGGAAGACTCTGGAAGCTTTCAAATCCCAAAGTGGAAGGAACGAGAATCAGACAAAACGGTTCTTTCAGTTACTGAGACAGAACGATATCTTCAAAGTGGTGCCACTTTTGTGTGGGTATTCACGAGTATCAGAAAATATATCGGTAGGATTACGAGGAGCTAAAAGGAATACGTACATCTGCCGATGTGTTCGAGGAGCCGATGTTTATAGCTAAGATATCTAGGGACATAACTCGCCATAATACTTAAGGTACCTACCTATCTTCTGTCGCCGCGCAGCCCAAACGAAGGGCTTTCTATAATATCCTTGCAGTTACCCAGGAGTACCTTACTTAGGTAGTTATGTTTCAGATATTTCTTGCATACTGACCTGTTCACCTCTTACATCTGGTTTTTTTTATTTGTGTGTAAGGGAAAGTGCGACCCCTTCTGTTACTTGAAATTACGACCCCATACTCTCGAATAAGTGCGAAGACTCGTACAGGTAGGCTGGTAGATTCGCCTTATAAACTGTAATTTTCACCTTAGCACCTTTATCGCAAATCATCATAACACTGGGCTCCAAAACATCTAGGCAAATTGTCTCGTCATGGGCCCCGATACTCAAGATGAGACGACGTGTACTCGGGGATCCAAATTTATGAACTAGGAAGACCTAAAAATTATTCAAAGTTGCGATTATATATCGTAGTTCTGGCATTCCATATTCCTTTCCTTTTCCCAGAGATGGATTTCGTAGCAACAACGCAAACAGTGCTTTTGGAATTTCTTTCACATGTGCTGCCCTTTCTAGGGCGAACACAGTCCTGTGACAAAGGGCATTGGGGATTCCAACACATCTTAGACAACTTGATCACCACGATCTCTCCCAGACAGGTGCTGTAAACCGAAATCATCCCAAGTCGATTCTATCCCACCTTCTTTTGAAGTGCCGAGACCACCCGCCAACGAGAGCCTTTCCCGTATTTTGTTTTTTACTCCGCTTCTACAACCGCAACCCGATAAAGAAAACCGCCACTGCTTTCAGAAATATAAATTCTCTCTCCAACTCTCAATTTATACATCAGACTTCCTCATGGTGTGATGAATCAGAAGACAATATCTGCCTGAGGCCAAAAGGCAGAACCTCTTAGGCAGCAACCCCACAAAACGCGCCAGAAGCGGAAAGGTGGGTCTGAGACGTGAGGGAGTCGACGCGACCAGAATTTTTTGGCTTAGCCTGCTAGCCTTGTGGTGCCTTGGTGCTTCCATGCTCACGGGGACAGGCGGTTTATTTGCTGCCGCGACGACCTTCGACCGCGACGACATCACTTCCCTCCCGCATCTCCCCGCGTGGCCTGGGCTTCGTTTTCCCACCTATCGTTAATTGCGCGATTCATCGCTGTCGCCCATCATGGCCGACATCAAAATCGATAGCAAAGTCTTTCAGGAGCGCATCTCGCACTTCATCAACGCCTGGAAGGCCGACAAGCGCTCCGGCGACGCGCTCTTCGCTGGCGCCTCCTCCATCGTCATACTTATGGGCAAGGTCACCGACCAGAACCCCGAGTTTCACAAGAACAATGCGATGCACGTACGTTTGCACCGTCCCATTCATTTCCCGCTGAATTTGATGCGCCACCCGTTCGATGCCCCCGCTGACACAGCTTCGTCGCAGTTCTGGCTCTTGGGCTATGAGTTCCCCACCACTCTGATGCTCTTAACTCTCGACAACATCTTTATCCTCACAACCCAGAAGAAGGGTACGCCCCCAAATACACACTCTACCTGCTCGCGCAGGGGCTGACTCCTATAGCCAAATATCTTGACCAAGTCAAGGGCGGCCGATTTCCCGTCGAGGTCCTCGTCCGGGGCAAAGATGCCGCCGAAAACGAGAAGCTCTTCATCAAGATTACCGATGCCATCAAGGCAGCAGGAGTGAGTCACGAATTCTAGGCAGACGCACGGGTTCATGGGCTGACAAGAGTCTCGGCACTAGAAAAAAGTTGGCGTGCTCAGCAAGGACAACTCCAAAGGCCCTTTCATCGACGAGTGGAAGAAATGCTTCTCGGACAACTGCAAGGACGCTGAAGAAGTCGACATCTCCCAAGCCATGTCTGCCAGCGCATTCTCGGTGAAGGACGAGACAGAGCTCCGGGCAATGCGAACTTCATCCAAGGCCTGCGTTGCGCTTTTGACCCCATATTTCCTTGACGAGATGTCCAATATCCTCGACCAAGACAAGAAGATCAAGCATAGCGCCCTAGCCGACAAGGTCTACAACAAACTCGAGGACGACAAATTCTGGAAGACCGTCGAACTTCCCAACAGACAGAAGTTGCCGCCTGATTTCGACCCCGAACAGCTGGACTGGATTTTGGGCCCGATCGTACAGAGTGGCGGAAAATTTGACCTCAAGTGGCAGGCAGACTCGGATAACGATGTCTTACACCCCGGCATCATCATTGCGGCTATGGGGCTCCGGTATAAGTCGTACTGCTCCCAGATTGCCAGAACCTTCATGGTCGACCCCAACAAATCGCAGGAGAGCAACTACAAGTTTCTGCTTGCCGTCCACAACCTCATCCTCAAAGAGATTCGAGACGGTGTTATTGTCAAGGACGTCTACGCAAAGGCCCACAGTTTGATCAAATCCAAGAAGCCCG